GGACCGGAGTGTGTGTGTGGGGGGAAAGGTCCTGGGAGAGCGACGCGGAGCCAGAAGAGAGCACCGAAACCGAAAGCGGAGCGAAGGCAAAAGAGAGCACTCTTCCGGGAGTTCTTACCTATATACTGTGCATGACATGCATGATATGGAATAAATCATTGGTCAGTCTGGTTCTCAATCTTAACCTAAGAGCAAAACCTATGCTAGCAACCGGCTATGCCTCTTTGCTCGTCTGCTGACCTTGGCAGCAGAACAAAACATCGGTCAGCATAAATCCTCCTGAGCATAAATCCAAAACACAGCCTCTTGCTAGCTATTTATGAAGAAGAGGGAGGAAAAAAAATAATTAACAGAGTTAACTTTAAGCAGTCTGTGCTTAACCCATGACAGTATACAAAGACATGATCACTGGGTGAGAAACTTGCATCTGACTGAACCACATGAACAAAGGAGAGGGAAATAAGAGATGCATACTCCCTTTTAGGAGTGGGAGACTAAGAGGGCTTTTCTCAGTCTCTTGCGAAGTCTGTGTAGAAACTTCAGATTTCAGCTTAGTCCTCCTTATTGCCATCAGTCGTAGCACTTTGTAGAGCTTACATGTTAGGGTTTTTTTTCCCCTGGTTCCATGGGGGATGCTCGGTAAGACCTGGTATTCCACTTGCTATCCTCACTGATAGTTTGAAAGGAAAGCTATTTTGTCAGCAAGGAGACTGAACTCTTAATTTCTAGAAGCCTGGCAGTGCTATTCCTCTTCAGGGACTGGTTGGGTTACAGCCCTCCGGGGCTTTCAATCCAACATCTTTCAAAACAATTGTGCATACTGGTGGATATGTATTTGGGACAACTGATTAGCTCATGTATGCAAGTATGTTTTAAAATTATGTTAACTAGTGAATGCATAGGGATGTCTGCCTGTTATTTTTTTACTTCAGTATGATTATACTGACACTGTTTTTCCCCTTGTGATAATCAAACTCTGTGTGGTTCCGTTTTAACTTTTGACTTGAGGGTCAGATCTGTTGTCTCCCCAAGCAATAAATGATACTAATTATAAAGTGGTGCTGAGGAAAAGTTGGTGGATCTTGGAGCATTTTGCAGAGGAGGTCAGTGTCATTCTGTTTTTTCGGAGAGGAGAAACTAATGCTGTAATCCCATGACCAATTTAGATGTGGACTCTCTAAAAGAAAGCAGACTCATCCCTGCTCATTCCCTCATTCACATCACACTCTTCCTTGTGCCAACAGAAGTGTTTGTGCACACTTTGGTGATCTGACTGACGTGGGCTAAAACTAACCCAGCAGAAGATGCTGCCTAACCTTTATCTCTTCCTGAGGTTTGTTCAGGCAGCAGTGCAGGTCTGTGAATGAGTGCCTGAGAGCAGGAGGGGAGTAGGACTGCCTCTTCTGGCAGGCATTCTGACTTCTGCTGGCATGATTTGAGCACAAAGTACGAAGAAACCAAATGATCTCCAGCAGTCACCTAGCAAATCAGTGGCTGAGCCAGAATAAAAAGAATTTACTTTCTTCATGATTGTGGTATTCCATGTCCTAGAAAAGGAGGCATGAAATCCCTTACACACCTGGGTCCTCTGTTCGCCCAAATGCCTTTGGGTTGTATCATTTCAGTCAGCTTGCCAAGTCAAATATGCCTGTTTTGTGGGGTGTGCTTCACTACAAGAAGATAAATGTCATTCCTTTTGACTTTCATTACTTTCTGTTTTAGGGACTGCATGAAAATGGGAGAAGTGGATGGCAAAAAGATTGGCTGCACTGTTAGCCTTTTGGTTTGTATAATACTTTTTCTTTCCGTTTTTTATTTCAGCTGAGCGTTTTCTAGTATACAGACAGACATTTGAATAGGAGGTACCTTGCTTCTTGATGCAGTTTGAGTGGAAGTTGAAAGAATAATACTGCACTTAGGAACACTGATTTTTTTTTTTTCAGGGTGAAATTGATATAGTGCGGAGTTAGTCTTCTTTGGCATTTTATAGTTGGGCTCTGAGAGATCTGTAATACACCAAGTATTTTCCAAGTTTAATTGGTCTCTGAGTTCATAGAAACGAACAAGCCTTTTCTCCTTCCCCAAAATCAGCAAAACTTACATGATTTCTCCTATTTCATTTCTTCCCAATAACTGATGCAAGTTGGTTCTTACGACATAAGTCTTCTGACTGCAGGCTATCCATTCTCTTCCCAATAGAAGAGCCAGAAATGCTGCTCAAGTACTTGTCTTGTCATGTTATGATCATTATGACAAACCAACAGTGCAAATTCATAGTATGAAAAATATTTCATTTTTATTTACAAGATGCATTTTGGTTCTAGGCCAGTTTCTACTGACAAGTTTGTTGACTTCCGTTAACCTTGGAAAGTCTTCATTTTCAGGGCGAATGTTTTGGAAAGCTATATTTTTAGCTAGGGACAAAACCAGAATAAGCTGACTTGTAATTCTGCATTTTTGACATCAGTGAAACAATTTGGTATCACTTCTAAGCAGCAGTTATGCATAAGAGAATAAAGGATTTCTTCAGTAGGAAAATAGTGCTCTCTAAATAGGGGTGATGTTTACTACATGGTTGTAGAGCAGCTGGCTTTCTGTCAGAATATCTGACATGATCTGAATTCTGTAAAGAACCTGGATTATTTTCATCCTCTCACTAAGTAGTTTTTAAACTATTATTATCAAATCATCCAAGATCTGCACAAAAAGAAAAATCAAATATTTAAAAACCCCAAAACACCATAATACCTTTTAATGGAATTTTCAATTACTTGCACTGGCTAAGGCAGATTTCATATTGTAATAGTTATCAGCCAAATTTTAATACTATTTGTACCCCAGAGAAACAATGAATGCTAAATTTAGAAAAGGAAATTTCAATTCCAGAAGTAGCACACAAATTTTAAGACATTTGCTTGCCCATATGATGGATGAAGTGGTTGTCATCTCAAAAGATGTTTCATGAAATTAGAGGAATGTATAATGTTAAAATTATTTGAAGTCTAGAGGAGGAAGCAATATTTCATTTTTCAACACTACTTTGAAGGTATTCTGACTTCCAAAGATAAGAGGACTGGCTGGCATGAAAAGAGAATTTTTACGTTGTTTTGCCATAGAGGAATGTGCTGTTCTTCCAAAAAATAAAATTGTTCAAGTTAACCAAGTTATGAAATTAACTGGAATTATGCCACATCATGAAATATGCAGAAGGAGTATGCACCAGCAGCAATAACTTAGATGAAAGGAGAAGGTAGGAACTTTTTTCCTACTCTTCCCACCCTTTGGATCATCTGGAATAGGTTTCACATTAGTAATGCTTGTTTGGAAAAGCTGGTTTAAGAGATCTCTAATGGAGTTAGTTCTTTATGCATAAGAATCACCTAACTTCAATTTGAAATTTGAATTTCTAATGAAAGAGTTGTACCAAAAGCATTGAAAGTATATTGAATAACTTTTGGTAACTCACTGAGGAGTTTTTCTTGGGCATCTCTGGTCCTCATTGGAGTTTGATATTTAATTGCTATTTCAGGTTCTATCAATAGAAAATTACTGCTTCTTAGAAAGAGAACATTTTCCTGTGATGCTCTACGCTGGCATACAACATCATGCCATTTAAGCAGAACATATCCACATTGCCTGTTTGAATGTTGTTTTCAGGCTGTTTTTCCTTAGGAAAAAAAAAGTATTTATTAATTAGGGAAGTCTACTCTTTACATTATGTCCTCTTTTGAGGACTACATCTGTTATATTTTATACCTTGAAATAGATTATTGAAAAATCACACAACAGCTTTATTAGCATGATGCATTTCCTGAGCTGTGACTGGGCTGTTCTGTGGTTCGGCTTACAGACCAACCAGACATTGTCAGAGCTGAGCTTCAGAGAAAAAGCAGTTGATTTGTATAGTTTAGACTTGTGACAAGAACTGGAACCTTTAGTCTTGTCTCTCACAACCTTTAGAGGTGAGAGCCAAGAAGCCTAGTACTGCAGTTCAGTGCAATATTTTTTCTTTATGCTTTATTGCTCACAATTCTGTATTGTAGGTTATGCTTTTTTTCAAACAGGTAAACATGAACATAAAACCAGATATTTTTTTCATTTCCTCTTATAAAGAGAAGCATCTGTTCATGATCTACACCTTCTGGGAGGAAAAGAGGAGCCTTTGGATTATAAAGGCAGATGATGGCCTAAAGGGGGCATGTTGTTATGGAGCTATTGATACATAGTTATTTCCTCAAGTCAGTTAAAAAAAGTACTTTCTCTACAAAGTTTTTATTTTTATATTTTTATAATGTTCCTCCCACCTTTCTCTTTGATAATAACTTAATTTAGGAAACAGTGGCACAGAATAATACTGTACAATAGAAGAAAATTTTTGACCACTTGCTTAGAGTTCAAAATAGTGATTTGAATAACAGAACAGAAATTGTTAATTGCTACTGAGCGCCAGTGCCAGATTCTTCTAGCCTACAAAATTTTATTAACCAAAGCAGGTTATCCTGAATGTTAAGTATGGCTGGCAGGTGGACTTTAGCTACACATCCATAGTGAGTATGGCAATACTTGTGAACGGTGCTATAGGGTTGTGCTCCTCTCCCTATAACATTTTCATACTTTGTTTTAGGGCTTGCAAATAAATGATGACTGTTTTGAACTGAGTTTTTATCTTACATTTCATATTTTATCCATGTAACAACAAATAGTAGTTATACATCCAGAAATCTTTAGCCACTTCTAGAAATTTTGTCCTGGATATCACTTTAGAGTGCATGATTTCAATCATGCAATTCAGTATCTATGCATCAGTTTTACCAGTTCCCAGCATCAGTTAGGGCTGAAGAAATCACATTTTTCATTCAGGATTGTGCTGTTTACAATACTGAAGTATTCTTTGTGAAGCTGTCATGGTCCTGGCATTTTGCTATGACAGAAGGAAGAGTGGGCATACCAGGCAGTGGATATTTTGTTAAAATATGAGTACAAAAGTCAGAGTTCTCTCAGTATTTTAAAATCAACATATAGCTTTCAGCAAGATGTTAAATGGTCTAAGTAAGGATACATGGGTGCACTTTTTGGATGGATTGCTATTTATAAAGAAAGAACCGTCAGATTTCAGTTCTGTCAGGTTCTTCCTCTTATGACTATGAGAATTTAAATTGTTGACTTGTCTACTGAAAATTTTCTATTCTATTTACTATTTCTAACTGTACTACTGCAGTTCTGTGTAATGACTTTGTACATGTGAAACTTTCATATCTATGCATGTATTTGTAGAGCATTGTTTGAAGTCTTTCGTTTGTAACCACTATCATATATTTATTCACTGCCACATTTCATTACAAAATCCAATTTTATTGCAGAATTTTTACAAGACTGAACTGAACAAGGAAGAGATGTATATTCGCTATATTCATAAGCTGTATGACCTACATCTGAAAGCACAAAACTTCACAGGTAATTGAGTACAAACTAGAAAAAGATATTTAGGACTGGTCTGTGATTTGCAGTCTTTTGCAAAACTGATCCTCAGTGCAGAATACACTGACCCAGGCAACAGCTGAGTTTCCTTGTGAATTAGTCTCTCTCTTAAAATATGGTTTTTTTCAGCCCCACAACTCTACTACTTGCTGTGCCATGTTGATTGTAAAAGACTCCTATTAATACACACTGGCAATAAATGTGTGATTCAGTCATTCTTCACCCAAGATGAGTAAAGTTTAAAGGAAGTTTTTATGGGTCTATTTGGTAGTATCTGAGCCAGTATACTTTTTTGTAATGCTGCTGGTTAGCTGTTTGTTGTGGTGTTTCTACACAGCTGTGTTTGAGAACCTAACTTTTATGTTAAAAAAAGAAAAGAAAGGAAGACGCATATCACTTACTAATGATGAGACAGAGATCCTAAAACCTGGAACAAGTATAGCACTTTGCTGATGTTTTTCTGAATCTTTGTATGCCACATTTTCAGTACTATTGTCCAGGATTTCTCAATGTGAATTTAGTGCCAGGGCTTGCCATTATCTCTTAAATTAGTGTTGTGTTTTTAAGCCCAGCTAGCAGCAAACAAATGCCACGCAGCCGCTTGCTTACCCTCCCCGAGAAGGAGAGAATTAAAGGGGTAAAGGGAAGAGAGGCTGGTGGGTTAAGAACAATGTAATAACTAAACTACAATACAATCAAAAAGAATAATTATAATAATGATAGTATACAAATATACAAATGAGTGATACACAGTGAAACTGCTCACCACCGGATGATCAAGTCTCAGCCAGTTCCAGGCTAATGATCCCAGAGCAGGGAGAGTCCCAAAACTGCAGTCCCGGAAAAGAGATAAGAGCCCGAGCAGCTGAGAGATGGAGAGCTGACCGAGATAGTGAGGCATCCCTGAGAGAGAAGTGACACAGAGAGAGGGGAAAAGAGCTTTCAGACAGAGCCTCATGTATATACTGAGCATGATGTGCATGATATGGAACATACTATTGGCCAATTCGTGTCTCAATCCTAAACTTAAGATCAAATCCTAGGCTAGTAATTGGGGTTGTGCTCCCTCCCAGCTTCTCCAGCACCTGCAGACACTGATACAGCAGAGAAGCTGAAAGTCTTTGACTGTCCTGACAGCAACTATAAACATGAGTATGTTATCAGCCTTCTTCTCAGCACAAATCCAAAACAACCTCACACTAGCTACTGTGAAGAAAGTTTACTCTCTCCCAGCTGAAATTAGGACAATGAAGAAATAAGAAGATAATGTGCATGCTTGTTGATTATACAACATAAAGTGCAGTTCATTTGGGTAACTATATGCCATTAATAATTGCTGGAGAAGGTAAAATCAATATATCTTTAAATTAAACAATCTTTGATGGCCAAAGTATGTAACTGACCTTATAATACCTCTATCTTTTCCCTAGTGTTTGCAATTGCAACCGCATGTGTTCAGAAGCTCTCCAGAATTTTTTTCTTCTTAAAATCAGATTAGTTGGCTGGGGGTCTCTAGTAAACAGGCTACATGTACCTACTGCCACAGCAAATTTCCTTATGCTTTTTTGCTATCCATAGGGAAGATCCTTCACTTGGAATTTCCACAGTCCCTTTGCAGTTCATGGGTTTGAAGTGTAGACTACATAGCAGGATATATTAAGGAGAGATTTTCATTTCCTCAAGTGATCTGTCAGTTGTGAGTCACAAGAGAGTTTTGATTATCAAGCAGTATCTTTGCTACAGCTGGCTTTTGTGCCAACTATTCATTTCCTGATTTTACATAACAGATTTTAATAACTCTAAGCAATGTTGAGTTCCCTTTCCATGCTGGCTGCTAATATGTATCTCGTTTACCTTCAGCAGTGATATGAACCTAATTTTTAATTTTTTTTTTGCCATACATTCTTATTTTAAACAGTATTTTGCTCAAAATTTATCTCCAGGACTTTTTTGTATTTCCTGTGTATTTATTATTAACACGTGATTTTTGCATTCTTTGCCATGGTAGATTCCACAACTGAGTTTTTTGGTTTGTTTTTTTTTTTGGCGTGAGAGTCTTAAGGAAGGATTGTCTCACACCCATGGCACTGGGATAGAGACGATCTTTCCACTAGAAAACAGAATTATGTAGTCCATTGCTTTGCCTTATCAATCAATGACAACACACAGACCTTTTGTAAATCAGCTGATCTAAAGTACATGGGAGTAGGAAAAGAAGTTTGCTAGTTCAGCAGCATTCCTACATGTTGCACCATTAGTTTGCTAACTGCATAGTTTCATTCTAGGGATGAAGCCAGCTTGCCCTTGAAATAATTTTTCTCTCCTTTCATAGTATGATTTACAGGACTGTTTCTAATAATTCTCTGTGGAAAAAAAAAAGTCCTTTTTAATAGAAAACGTAGCTTCAAATCTTTTGTTACCCAGCACTCAGTTACAGCTATAAGTATAACTCTCTTGAGGCTGAAGTACATAAATGCACTAGTTCCTCTTGCATCCCTTCAGTCACCTAGGAAATGTAAAGAGATTGTCTTTGTGTCTATCCGTCTTAGAAATGTTTAGTTTTTTGAATCTTCCCTGTATGAACTGAATTTCTCACATCGTGAGTCAACCCTGTTTATCTCTCCTTACTGTTTTGGTGCACAGCCAACAGTTGCAGAACTCTCCCAAAGGTACCAGTGTTATTTGTTATGCTGGCCGCTGCGTAACAGTGGGTAGAGGGTCCCTTCAGACCTGTTGTCCAGTTTGGCCATTCTTATTTTGTTTTATATACATTTATGCTAACTTAAAAAAAAAAAAGGTATGGCAGCAAAAGTCTGTTAAAACTAAGGACTTGCATGCCGCGTTAGAAAGGAAGGGTCATAGAGAGCTATACTGACATGTATTTACGCTCTGCTATCTTTTGATTCCTTACGATTTTGAATGATTTATTATTATTAACTTAATGGATTTTTTTAAATTGGTATATAAATGTGCTGCATATTTTGAGTACCAGACTGTAGCTTGCAACTGTGACAAAGGATGTTACCAGTCAAGCAGCCTGAAAGCTGTGTGATGCCAGAATTAAGATTTTTCTGTGCAACTTCAGCTGTCTCCCTTGCACATATGTACTGCTGTGCAGCGTCATTTTGCACCATGCTTAGCATTTTACAACATTTGGATTCAAAGTACATTTTCCTACAAGCATCTCCTGCAGTGATGGTTTTTCATCCATGGGTTCTTAAGCTGGATGCATAAGAGGAACAGTACCATTAGAAAAAACTCTGTACAGTTTGGTTTAATTCATCTCTCTTATGGGAACTTGTATGGCAGGGGCAGAAGTAAGATCTGGTTGTCTGGGGCAACCCTACCTTAGCACAAAAAGTGCTTTAGTACTTTACAGAGTGTATTTTGTCTTATGTACAATCTGTAAAACCTGCAATAAAATAAGTCTAGTAGGCAGCTTCTTTCTCCAATGCAGTATGTCTCCAGAACGTGGCCCATCTTTGTACTAAGTGGCCCTGTGAGTGGAAAAATAGACTGACCACTAACTTGGAAAACAATAATGCATATGCACGGTTAGCCAAATTGAACTGTCATAATCTGTAGTAATCCTGGTGTTTCATAACTGGCCAAAGCCTGACTTTGCAATAGAGAAATTTGTTTAATATTAGTTTTAGTGTACCAGTTCTGAGGAATTCTTCAAATCAAAGTAAAAATAATAATAATAATTTTGGTATTCCCAGATAATTTCTACCAACCATGATCTAAAGGTTCCTACACAGTTCTCTTACCAGAGAGCAACAATAGGTTTGATATTTCCAAACCTAAAAATAAATAAAATAAAATACTTTGTGTGTGCACTTCTAAATTATTTGTTACGGTAGAGTGTTAAGACTCAGCTGTGATGGATTTATTGAGGGATTTATTTCTGTTATGGAAAGAATGGAGTCCGTTAAGCACATATGTGCCTCTCCATTTCCCTTCCAGCCCTAATATCTTTTGGACTGTGTCCATACTCCTATCTACCTTCTTTCATCTTTCTTTATTGATGTTACTCATCCTCTGGCCCTTGTCCCCTTGCTCAGACAGCAGAGACAATGAAAGTTTCTCCTAAGCAGTAGGGAAGACTGGAGCTAAGCAGAAAATTGTTTCTTAATTTCTCTGTCCCCTCTGTATTGTCAGACTCCAGGAAAACAGTCTCAGTGGCTCCACTTTAAATAGCGTGTGAAAATTATAAGCTGAATTTATTATAGCTGTAGATAGTAACTCTGTCCAAAACCAGCACTACCATCTGTCTTATACTTGAAATAAATCAGTTACGGATTAAAAAGGTGCATCTCATCAGGAGCATTCACATTTCTGTGTACTTTGTTTGGCTGTTTTATTTGTTTGGTGTTCTTAAGTAGCATGCTGTAATTTGTCTTGTAGAGGCTGCCTACACGCTCCTCCTGTACGATGAGCTGTTGGAGTGGTCTGATCGGCCACTGAGAGAATTTCTCAACTACCCCATGCAAACAGAATGGCAACGTAAAGAGTGTCTCCATCTGACCATCATTCAAAACTTTGATAGAGGAAAGGTAAAATAGTCCTAGTTTACTGAGTGGATCTGGAATGATGGATAGTTTATTAATTTTAGGACATTACTTCCAGGGTTGCAGTCTTTTCTCATCTAGAGGGGAAGTGTTTGTCATTGCCTGATTAAGCAGTTACTTAGTGACACAGTAGGTTCCTTCTAATCCTGTGTTTGTGTCCTAGAAATCCCACACATACATGCAAGAATAATTTGCACTTGAGTAGCAGTTGGCTTTGTAATTGTCAAAGCACTTTATAAACGATAGTATAATTTCTCCCCACTTTAAAGGTGGTGAAAATGAGCCATGTAAAGCTTATGAAATTCACTTAGTGACCAAGTGAGGAAAAAAATCGTGATTCTGAACTATAGGGACTATATTTATACCTTCTAAATCCCGTTGTGTCTTTTAGAGTAGCAATTGTAGACTCTCTAAAAAGGAAGGGGTTTTGGGGATCACAGTTTGTTGTAATCAGTGAGAATGCTGATTCTGAATTAAGTGAGAGTAATTATCCTGTAGTCTAAAATTTTCTATACCCTTTGTGTGATGATTTGTCTTGCTGATAAACAAGGAATTCATTACAATTTTGTGTAGCTAGTGTAATATCCATGTAAGCCTTGTAAATGTAATCAAACTGATGTCGATCATCAATTTTTTCAGAAAATTCTGTAATAAGTTTATTGAGTTTAAATTATATGGTATAATGAAATATTTTCCAATATACAAAAATTAAGGAGGATATGTTAAGAATACAGTTTTAAAATGTAAAAATAATACTGTGTTGAATCAGTCTCATATGTAGTATCAAAAGATCTGTATCACTCTTGCAATGACTTGTATCTTGTCCAGTGATAGTCCTGTAAAAAATAATTTATCAAATAAATCTCTAAATATATTTTTGATCCTTCAGAGAATTCATCAGTATTAGTCAGCAGCTATCAGTATGTCTAGTGGACAATATGTTTAAGTTTCAGTTACTGGAGGTATGACTTAGTACACAAAGAACATAAATATATTTGTAATAAATAACCGAATTGTCAAACAGTTGCTTTGAAATCACTGGGCATCTTTTACTTGCTTGCAGTGTTGGGAAAATGGCATTATCTTATGCAGGAAAATTGCAGAACAGTATGAGAGCTACTATGACTACAGAAACCTCAGCAAGATGAGGGTAATGTACCTGAGTACTTTTCATCAATCAGAGATCAAAAAGCTTTTTAGTTTGGGTTATAAAATATTACTTAGAAAATTAAATTTGCCACAGAAAGGTCTTCAGGTTTGGTTTGCAAATTTTATTTTTTATCTTTTTTTTTTTTTCTTACAATAACAATTATAAAACAGTAGTGTGAGCTTTTTGAAGAAAAATGGGAAAGTAAATGATCTTGCAGTGTTTGTACCTGTACAACAACACCCCTTTTGTGTGCATGCTTATGCAGAAAAAGGATATTACAAATTCTCTTTAATTCGTTTTCTGTGGTTTATCCAGGGAATGTGCTCCATTCAGTCCTTTGCTAGGAGCAGCAGTGTATCTTTGCAGTTGTAAGTGCTAGCAAACAGGTTGCAACAAGCAACATACACCTTTGCAATTTTTTTAATTTACTGCATAAAAATATGGTCTGTTTAATATCATATAGCAAAAATGAATCTTTCCAGACAGTCTTCCTGCTTTCTCTCTCATTTTTCTTAGAACTCTTAAACATTGTTTCTTTCTTCATTCTTTCTGATACTGTATTTTAAAGATTATTCAGTCTTCCCTTTTCTGATTCTGATGGATTCAATTTTATATTACAGCTTCCTTTTTAAATTTTCTGTATGTCTAGGATGCTTGCTGCTACGACTGATTGAAGTATACTTAATCCAGAGCTACTTAACAGCATTATGCAAAATTCCCAACACAGAGCTACATGGCAGTACTCCCTGTGATCTGCTTATTCCATATATATTTAGATACCCCAGTTCCAGAATCCTGTGAGCAAAAGCAATCTGACTGTCATCATGGGAATGAAATAATTAGTTTATGCATATTAAATTAATTGTTTTCAATGTGTTTTGTGTTTGAATTGGGAAATACCCTTCTACTATATCTGTGCCACCTATGTTAATCCAAAAATGGAGGTGAGGGGATTTCTCACAGCAATAAAACTAGGCGGCCATTAATGTCATATACACATTAAATAGCTGTCTGCATTACCTAAAACGGGGCTAATACTGGTTTTTCACAGTATTAAAAAGTTAAGAACAGAGAATATCATCAGAAAAAGGGGACTTTGACATTAAGATCACTTTGCGTCAGTGTTTTGAGTGAAATAAAGGCAGGATCTATTGCTCAAAAATGATGTTAATTGCTGTTGTGAGTTTTTAAAGGAACTCACATTAGATGCTTAAATCATTGGAATCTGGTATGATTTGGACACAGCTCTTTTGAATATGGAAATTGGACTTTGCTGATTAAACTGACCACATTACTGCTATGTATCTATGCTATGTATCATCCGATTAGCAGAGGAACTCACATTAGATGCTTAAATCATTGGAATCTGGTATGATTTGGACACAGCTCTTTTGAATATGGAAATTGGACTTTGCTGATTAAACTGACCACATTACTGCTATGTATCTGGATGATTAGCAGATTACTGGGTCTTATGTTTCAAACTGTGTTTCTATTACTTCCATTTTTATTAAAGAACTATGTGTGTTGACATGAATCTAATATTTTATCCCTTTAATATAAGTACTTCATATTTAAAAGCAATTTTTTAAAAATTCTTGGAAACTTTCAGGTCATTAAGAGATATCATTATTTAATTTGATACATTCAGAGACTTCTAGATGTCCTTATTCTTGCTTAGAGTACTGAAATTCCAGTACTCCAGAGCAGCGTGCTGAAAGACCCTCCCTTTTGTGATAGCTTAAGGTAAAAATATGTTTTCAAAAAAGACTAATTGCATTTCTTATCAATCTCATACAGATGATGGAAGCATCTTTGTATGATAAAATTATGGATCAACAGCGTTTGGAGCCAGAATTTTTCAGAGTTGGATTTTACGGGAAAAAGTTCCCATTCTTCTTGAGAGTAAGTGAATTGAAAATAAACAGAATGGAGTAGTTCTGGAATTTGTGCTGCCATTTCTAATCACTTTCTCTATGTGAGAAATTGATCAGACCATATACAAGTTCTTATCCTACGAGAAACAGGGAATTCTTTGTGGTAATTAGTGAAATAACCTCATGTTTTCAGGGTTAAGAAAAGGTCCTGTCTAATGGAAAGACAAATGCTAGGCTTCCAGAGTCCCACATAAACTTAACATTCATGTCTATATTGGAAAACGTGCACCTACACTATTCCACAAACCAATGGCTTATTTTCATGGTAGTTTGTTCCATGTATCCTGTTCTGCTTCTGGTGGTGGTCACTCAACGCTGTCAGAAGAACAATCCCTTGGCAGTGAGACATGAATATATGATTTAAGTAATTATATTCCCAGGTTCCATTTTTTTTAATGACTTGGAAATTCAACATGCTGAGTTTCATTGATTATCAATGTACTAAAGCTGACCGGATACATAAAATTACCTTTGAACATTAACCTTGGATTCTGAAGTTACTGAAGTGCCCTTGAAAATGTTAGTCGTGTTTGCACTGTTCCCCTCTTCCACAGTCTGCAGTGGTTTACATGCATTGACCGTCACCCATCTTAATCATGGGGCCACTGCAATCTTAATCCAAGCTCCTCTTCCTATGGTAATTCAAATAAGTGATGAAGGAATCTCCTCTGTATGTTGGAGGCCTAAAACGTGTGTTTTTTCTTTGCCTTTGTGGTGGGGAAAATTACAATTTCCAAATGGTAAATATAGTGTGAAACTTTCCCCTTTAAAAGCAATGCACAAAAAGAGTCTGATGGGCACATAGTTTTCGATATTACCTAGTAGTAATCTGAATATAAAATGTGTGTAAAGCAATTTGAAAATGTTAATTAGAAATAATTTAATGTTTAGACTATTAAAAATATGTCAACTGATGAAGTAAAAGTACTGGAAAAAGCTTCACAGTAGTGCAGTACTTTCAGACCTGTATGTCTTTCACTGCTCATGCATCTGCCCAGGAAGTATTTATGCATTTTCCAAGGTAAATGCACACAGCACAGATTTCTGCTTGCAGCACTGACAAGAAACACCTCAACTACTACTAACACTACTACTGTTACTACTATATTTGATTTAGTTTTTTAATGGCAAAGCAGTTTGTAACTCTTTCAAACAGCCTGGGTATGTTTGCAATAGAAGGAATAAAGAATAAATCTTCAGAATAAAGCTTTCACCTTTTAATGTGTAGTTGCACTATAACACCATTGCAGTTGATTTCTTGTAGCAATTCCCATGAAAGTCCAGGCTTTCAGAATTCAATGCTTCCTATCTCTGTTGTCAGGATACTATGAAGACAGCAACTGTTTCTGTCTAAACCTGCTTCAAGAGGAACACATTAGTAATGACTTTTTAGAATTTTCTAGTATTGATTTTAAAGGAAAATAATTTAACTGTTTTTAGAAAAATGGTTAAGATATTTACTTATTTCAAACATGTGCAAGCAGAATCAAACCAAAAAGTGCTGTTCCACAGCTACAGGAAGCCCTCAGCACCACTGTGGTCAGTGACTAGTTGCAACCGGTGCTCCAAATCCAGGCATCTCATGTTTAATGTAGGTTGTGTGTTGTATCTGTATTGATGTACAATCTCAGGAAAATAATGGGACAACCTCATAGTGGGCATTGAGGTTAAAAAAAAGTCATGTTGTAGTCAGGAGTATTTTTTTACTTCACATTGCAAAAACTGGATAATTGTAATTTACCAGGCTGATAACTCATAAATGTTTAGAGGATAAGGCAAACAATGCATTCTACCATTCTCTTATGCTTTTTTTTTTCTTCAGAGTTGTATAACTTCAAAGTTTCCTAATTCCTCATGGAAAGGACACTCAGCCCATTTCATTGTCTTAACTGTCTGTTGCATTAAATTTTGTTACGTATTTTATACAATCTCATCTGTTATGTTAGTTACATACCTTAATCCAATAAGAACAATTTTTCCCTTCAGATTTTTATTAAAGCTTTAAGTATAATAATTTTTCAAGACTTGTGAGTAAACATAATTTATATGGTAAAACTTCCTTCTTCTGAGTAGCTTGTTCTTTCTAGATTTGTTATTTTCATGCTTGCCTTTTGTTTCTTTTTTTTTTTTACGTCTTAAAATGATGTAAAAATTGCCCAGAAAGACTATATTTAAGACTGTGCTTGAATCTATCTAATGATACTCAATTATTTTCATATAACTTGCTTTTTTTTTTTTTTTCTTCTTATTCTGCTCAGAATAAGGAATTTGTTTGCCGAGGACACGACTATGAGAGGCTGGAGGCCTTCCAGCAGCGAATGCTGAATGAGTTTCCACATGCCATTGCTATGCAACATGCTAATCAGCCAGATGAGACCATCTTTCAGGCAGAAGCACAGTGTATCCACAGAATCAGAAACCCATACACTGCAGTTACATCTTTCATTCTTTTAAAAAATGCAGGTACACCTGTAGCCAATTTCAATCACAATATGCCTCCACTGAAATAAATGGTAGGTGAGAATTCCCCTGAAATTTGTCCTCGTCACTCTATTATGTATGGAATTTTTTGGTATGATTGTTGGTTCTATTTAAAAATTCCTTCACAGGTTATTAACATTCTTACTTTAGCCAAAGATACTTGTAGAACTATCACCACTGTGATAATGGTGCATCAGTTCAAGTTACAGTAATTCAAGTTCTCCAATACAACATAATGTTAGCATGGCATTGACATAATATGTGTAAGAATATATTTAATTAAATCCCTTTACCCCATGTACTATCCATGTAAGTAGCTCTATTGCAAAAATAAATATGAAATTTTCAACAAAACAGTACAAAGAAATCCCAAACCATCAAAAAAAGTCTCAGGTTCCTTTCCCAAGCCATGAATAGTCTAGAAGCATTTTGTGATACACAGTTTTTAAGGAGTTTTTCTTCTGTCATGCTTCAGGAGTCAATATGCTTTGCTAATTTGAATGAAGTGGGATTGCCTTAACTCTTTACATACAGATTTGCAGATTTATGCAGTGACACCAATTCCAGAAAACCAGGAAGTCCTTCAGAGAGACGGCATTCCCGACAACATCAAGAGCTTTTACAAAGTGAATCACATCTGGCGATTCCGATATGACAGGCCATTTCACAAAGGGACCAAGGACAAGGAGAATGAATTCAAGGTAAAGTACCATGCCCTCTCCTGATCTACTGGACCTATGGATTTATTTGTAATGTCAACGACAGTTGTGTTATTAAAACATCATCTACAGTTGTGTTGTTTAACTGAGTGTGGTATAACAAATTCTCTAGAGGAGACGGTAGCTCAGGTTTGACTATTTCACTTCTCATTTTATTTAAAGTAATATGAAAAATATATGGGAGATGGGAAGGTCTTGTTGTATATGGGTGTAGGACAGAAAAAAGTACCTGTTTGGTTTTGCATGAGTTTCATATAGGAGGCAGAACTGGAGACAGCAGAGCAGCCTCCAGAGAAGTTTATAAGAGAGATGGGAAAACATTGTTAAGTAGGTAATCTGGGGTATGGATAGGATTGCCAGAAGTTATCTCTCCCTAGAGCAAGGGAGAGACAGTTTTGACTAAACTGCAGCATAATGTTCTGTTCCTGTGATACCAAGACTATAGTTCCTTCCCTGATATGTAAATTACTTCTGTTCTCCTAATAAAAATGTCACACTGAAGATTCATCTTATATTCTTCTTGTGTAATTTTAATTCTGGACCCCTAGAAACGCATTCTGATGCAGAATATGTTCTGGTATTAAGACATACAAAGAAAATTATCACACAATAATTTTTTTATAAAGTTAGAGGAAAGAACTCTAAGGATTCTTACAGTTAACTTAGCTAAATTAAGTCACTATTGTCCTCTAATTAAAGCTCAGGCCATTATTTTAATAGAACAGCTTACATATATTTTGTGTAAGCACTATCCTATGTGTTGATTTGTCATTTTACAAACTTCTTGCACATACTACTAGCAGTAGTACATTTGAGTATTTCATCAGCCATGCATTGTCGAATCTCAAACAGGACTTCACAGAGGAGAGCTGGTCACTCTGTGTGATCTGTAAGTTGTTCTGCTTCTCAACACTCCCTCTTCTCGGTTATTATCTTGGAAAGGGAATAGTAAAATGATAAATTAGTTGTAAGTGACTTTTGGAGATGAGGGGACAACATTTAATATAGAATAATACCATGTTTAAGAGGGAAGAATCAGCAGAAATTACTGCTTAGTAGTAGGTCCTAGAAAGTAAGGAGAAAAGTGGAAGTCATGGGCTTCTGGGATAGGCATTGCAGTAGAAATTTGCATGTGAATATTTTTTTTTTTTAATGTATACTGTTACTTAAGGTATTCATAAAGAAAACTGGGAATAATTAAGAAAAACATAGAGGCAAATTTGGGAAATAAATTGGTTTTGTATATTGTAGAGTCTCTGGGTGGAGAGAACTACACTGATCTTGGTGCAGAGTTTACCTGGAATATCTCGTTGGTTTGAAGTGGAAAAACGTGAAGTAGTGAGTATGGTTGCAATGCATGTTGTGGGTTCTTTTACTTCCTTATCCATATGTTATTTGATGAACTACTTTAAGATTTATTACCCATATCTAATTTCTTTGAGCAAGCTTTCAAGCTGGCTATAACAAAATTATTTACAAAGTATTTCGAGTTGTCTGGTTTCTCTTATTTTGAAAAGTATTATTAAGAACCACCCTTATGATTCATTTAAACAGTTGAGGAAAAAAGAAGTTGAGAATGGTAATGGGGCAGCCAAAGATCACATTTAATGTCAGCAAATTACTTTCTTAAAACTCAGCATGATGTAACTTTTAATACTTAGAATATCTGTAGCTTAACATATCTTTCAGTGTTCTTGAAAAGTAAACATTCTCCAAGTTCCTCTACTATAATAAGTGGGTGTGGGTATATCTCGGTGTCTGCCTAGAGCTCTGTTGAAGTTCCCAGATCTCAGCATGGGCAGGGAAGCATGCCTATGCAGAACCTGTAGGCATAGGGTCTAATGTAGCAATCAGTTACTGACTCACTGTAATTTCTTCTCCTTCCTTGTTGTTATATTTCTTAGAAAATCCTTAAACATGTTTCAAATCTATTTGGAGGAGTGCTTCTCATATAAAGATCTCTAAATAATTGGTCAATTGTTAAGCCCAGGAGTATAACATCTGTAACTATTTTCCTTCCTGTCAAAGCCAGTCTTATAATAGTCCCATTAAATACAGGAATGTGATTGTACAACTGATTTTCTCTAACATTCTATTGTGTTTTTATTTTATAATAGCAACAAAATGTCATTCATTCACCATCCTTATATTCTCCTGTAGAAAACAAAAAATGGAATTTAATAAAAATCAAAAAATTGTGTGTGACGTGAGAAACTTTGTTAGTTGACTCCTACTGAGTCCTTACTAGGTTAATGAACCCTAATATGAAGATCTTCAGTTTACTGTTGCGTTACCATTATAGTCATAATTTACTCAGATTTGTGCTTGTATGTTTTGGTAAATTATGGCAACTGCAGGCCTGTACTCTTCCCATTGCTTAGCTTTTCACTTTTCCTGCAATTCACACTACTTATGAGAAAAGCTTCCTCACCCTCTAGAGAAGACAGGCACATCCTGCTCAAGGACTACCTTTAACTATAACTTGATTATCATCTTAGCTCAAAGCTTACATTCAAATGCCTCATCCATAATGTCTAGTTGTTGACTTCACTTTGGGTGGGGGAATTCGCTTGCCCATACTTAAGCTCTGCTCTGTGCCCTCAAGCACTGTAAATTCTCCCAGACCTCAAGCCCATTTTAGGTAAAGGTACCAACAACAGTTTAGCACTGAATTCTAAGAGTTCCACCACAGGCTGAAGTGTGAGTTTTTGCAGCAAGGGTTGAGTGACTCTCAGTGTCAGATAATGAATCTACAAGAGAGGGATGGTTGTTTATTTTGGTCCTTGATTACGTGATAAAATTAATTCTCTCTGTGCTCAGAGTGTACACTCAGAGAGTGTAGCCCAGGTGAGAAGAACTTTTTCTACCCCAATACTATAGAATATAAAGTAGTATTGTTTTAAGAAATCAAAAATTACCTTTAATATATTTCATCTTTCAACTGAAGATTAAGTATGTTTTCAATGTTCCTTACTCCCCTTTCAGGTGGAAATGAGTCCCCTAGAGAATGCTATTGAAGTCTTAGAAAATAAGAACCAGCAGCTGAGAACACTGATTAGTCAATGTCAAACTCGACAGATGCAAAATATTAACCCTCTCACGATGTGTCTAAATGGGGTCATTGATGCAGCAGTTAATGGTGGAGTTGCTAGATACCAAGAGGTAAGCAACTTATTTTCTTTTTATTAAAAATTTGTCATGACAGTTTCTGACTCCAACCCCAGCACCTGCTGTAGCAACTCCAATCCTGGGGTTATGGGTCTGTGCCGCACATTGGGCGCCACTGTGGAAGGGGACAAAGTCCCTGTAGTGCATATACTAACATTATTATTATCATTATTATTTTCAATATCATTGTAGTGTAGTTATTATTTTTTTCTTATCTTGACCCATGAGTCTCTTTACCCCTTTAATTCTCTCCCCCATCCCCAGGAGGGGGGAGGGTGAGTGAGCGGCTGCATGGTGTTTTGCTGCTTAGCTGAGTGTGTTAAACCATGACACTGATTCTTTCTCTGTACAGCTGCAGCTCCTCTGAATGAATTGAGGACAGAAAGTACTAAAACAATTATAGTATTAATTATGCCTATATTGAAGTTTTGGGTGAGGTGATATTTAATATGTATCGCTTTATTGAAACAACTGTTTTGCTGCAGGTATTCCCACAAACTTACTCCAGTGACAAGTCAATTCACAATTACCTTGCATGTTTGAGGATTTTTAATCAAATAGTAATTGTAACTATATAATTATAATATATTCCCTCCTCCCTGCCCTTCTAGGTCAGGAGCTACTTATGGGCAACCAGCAAATTTACTTTTCTGTGCAGACATTCTAATTTTAAAATAGATAGATAGATATGTGTGTGTACCTATATATATATCTATATATACTCACAAAAATAATTCTTAACAAAAAAAGTTATTATCTTGAAGAATCATATTATTCTAGACCCTTCTTTCTCTTCTCCAAGTTTTAAGAAAAGGTATTTTCTTGAAAAATCTAGTAGGAAATAATACATATAATTAAGAAATATTTAATGCTGGATTTGTTCCCAAAAGTTGTTCCTCATTGTTACCATCTCTGAATCACCTTTGGAGAACTTTAAATGTTTGGAGTGCTGTATTTCCAAAAAGTTCTGTGAAATTTTGAAACCGCGGTAAAAAGAAATTAAAGATTTTTTTTTTTTAGCTCAGCTTGTTCATCTTCTTTCTCCTAGTAGTCTTATGAAATACTTGAGTCTGCTAGTTTTTCCTTTTCCATTGAAAATGCCAAGTTGAATAACATTCTGTCCACTTGTCTCAAAGGCTGCAGGATTCGGTGTTCACTCAACAGTATTAAATTTGATAAAACTGCATCTAAATAAAACTACAAGAAATTGAGTCCCCTGTAGTGTTACAATCTGTCATCGAAACTGCAATGTTATGAAAATTGTGAGACTAAAGCAAAGCAGGACCATGTTTGAGGCTTCCCAGCTGTCTTTAAACAACAACAACAAAACTGTTTAGCGTAGTAGAGCGCTATGAAGGGAGTCCCTTGAGAAATATAGTCATGTCAGAGCTATGTCTGGTTTGAATTAGCAGTGTCAGAGCTAGCTCGGTGTCTCTGCATAGCTTTCCATTCTTCACAAGCATATTAAGGGTTCTAGCTTGCCTGTCTGTTTTACTTGCTTTTGCCTTCTGCCCTGTACAAAGCTCAAAACTCAGTCAGTCTTTACATGTCTTTACAGATATCATCCTTCCCTTCAGGCAACTTCCAAGCTTTAAGAAGTGTAACACCCAGCAAATAACATCTGTTGGCCAACTTCTGCCTTCTTGGTTCTGTGCTCCTTTTTCCCCCCTTCTTTTTTTCCTCTCTCCCCCCTTTTTTCCCCCCTTATCCCCCCCCCCCCCCCTTTTTTTTTTTTTTTTTCCTTTTTTCTCCTCTCCTGATGGGATAAAAAGCAGCTATTTCTAATTATTCAGCACTCTGGCTGGTATTGCAGGTGTTAAAGCTGAGCTTTCACTGGTTTCAATACAGGAACAGATTCCAGGAAAGTCTACAGAATAGTTACTATGCAGCACCTTCATGTGTGCTAGAAATGGCTGTAGAGTGAACAAATTATTATTTTAATATTTTCCTAAACACTGTTGGAAAAGCATGAAGAGTGTATTCTGTGCCCACTAACACCTCTCAAACTGCAATTTATACTATAACTTACATTTCTTTTAGCTCCTTTACATGTGCTAGAACAGTAGAGGCACTTTAATGATTAATGATTGAAAACCACTGGCTCCAAGAATCTTACTAGATTTATTAAATTTCTATTTTTTTTTCCTAAAGTACTGGTGATTTTGTTTGAAGTTAGATTATTATATTCTGACTCATATTACAGATCTGTATAAATCTCAGCCCAAAACCACTGGGACACCACCTGCTTGATATTGAAAGAACATTAGTCTTGTAGCTCATGGAAAAAAACATCATCTGGCAGAAGTTTGGGATTGGGGATTTTAGCAAGTATCAAAGGGCTCCTTTTAACAATTTAAACATTAATTCTTATAATTTTGCTTATCTGCAGTGAAAGGACCATGTGAAATAAATGTTCTTCATTACAGTATCAGCATTTTCTAGACAGGTCTCAGCACTTCCTTGTTATGGTTTGTCACAGCATGAAATTTTGGAACTGAATCAGAGGAAGGGGTATACCTATCTCCAGCTCTACTGTTCCCCATATTTACAAATGATTCTGCATATCAAAGAATTTAACTGCTAAATTTGGATGCAGAACCTTGTAAGAAGTACATGAGGGAAATACAAAGACGGTGCAAAAGGAAAACAAAGGACAGAGCAGCCACTATTATCCTCTCAACTCTCTGGATAGAAAACCATGTGCATGTATATGTATGCATACAGACACGTTTTGTGACAGATGTGTTTTTGAGAAGGTCTAGAAATCTCTCACCTGAGCAAGTGGGCATTTTCTTTACATAATAGTGTCAAGGATTGTTGTAAACTCAGTACAATCCCCTTGCAGGGTAGAATAGTTGCCATGTTAAGAAAGATGCAATCACGAACTAACAGGGGAGTGCGATGTCTAGGCCACTGCTGGTGGGTAAAATTACATCAAGGTGCTATAGCTGGTACGTTCTGAGCATTGGCGATGGCGTGGAAAGTTATGTAAGCTCATGAACATGCCTGGATGTTGGTCAGATGCTCCTGAAGTGAAAAATTTGGCTTTTAGACAACAATGTCACTTTGAGTTCTTTGAAACATTATTTATATTAAGAGTGAATAAGAAGATAATGCCACAGCTCCAATACATATAATAGCATATGATTTCACACTGTTCTTAAGATGTCTTTATATTTAAGGGGTAGTGAACCTCCTAGTATGAAAAGAGAGGAAAATCAATATCTTTGTAACTATTTGAAACTCCTATGTCACAATTAATGGGGAAGGGATAATTAGTTCAGGTGACCTGTGTTTGGTTTCAACTCTGATTTGCAGGTTTCCAAATTTGATTCAGGATCTGTTATGGATATCGAAGAACTAGTAAATTCCACTCAAGAGCAGCTACATTTTCTTTGTCCATAGGCTTCACCAATGGATATGTGAATAAGTAATTATTTAGCATTTATTGTCCTCTGTTACAGTAGAAGGTGCTTTTGTCTAAAAACTTGTTTAAAAAAAAAAGCAATCTGTTTTTGCTGACTTTATATTATTTTGTGATTTTATTCTGCCTAGGCATTCTTTGTCAAAGAATATGTCTTGAACCATCCAGAGGATGGAGAGAAGATCACACGCCTGAGAGAGCTAATGCTTGAACAGGTAAAGTGGGAAGAAGACTGACTAGGCCTGCTCAGCTGTTCTAGCTAAAAAGTGAATAAAAGTAAAATAGAAAATTCTGGAGTTTAATAATTGCCCGGTGGTCTTCAGTATTTTCTGAATTAGATTCCAAGGAGACAGCAACTTCCTATAGAAGTAGGTTTCTGGATCACGTTAATATTTTTCCCTAGTCCTTTCATCGTCATCTTAATCACTTCAAACTACTCTAAATTAATGTTTGAATGAGAGGCAAGTTTTTGCCTTGTGATGCTCATATGTAAATATTTGCACAACATATTTTACCACTACTACAGAATAAACATTATCTCACTGAAACATTTGATGGCTTCAGCAAATATTTGTATGATGTATTTTACCAATACTATAGAACAAACATTTTCACTGTAATATTTAGCATAGGAGCAAAAAAGCCTGAAAAATTATATTACAGTGGAACATATCCAACAACTGCCCAAGTAATAGGTAGGCAGTAAACTAAACACCAAGTGATTAAATTAAACAGTGAGTATTCTATGCACTGTATATTTTTTTTATTATTTCTTCATTTGTTTATAAGACAATGACCTACCAGCCTCAAATATGAAGTGTCTCCATTTGGAAATGCTGAAAAAAAATATTTTGATTGAGTGATCGTACTGAGTATTTCAGCTTTTTAAACTGACATTTACCTATCTTTTTTTCTATGCAGCATGTTGAAATTTCAAACTTTATTGCCAGCTTGAGATAAAGAGATCAGAGTATTGGAATTTGGCAATATGGAAATTCAATTTTTTGTCAGCATTGTGGTATCTTTTGGTCAGATCAGCTGAAGGGACAGATTCTCAGTATCAGTCAGAATAGGTTCACTGAGCTCAATTTAATTTAGATTATGTATGGTAATTTATGTTGCAGTTTTGGTTTTTCAAGCTGCAGTTAATCTCACTAACCCTTACAATTTAAAACTGCACTTAATAACTTCCTATTACAAAAATGTGGATTTTAAGTGATAGCAGTTAAACCCTGCCTGGCACCCACAGATGATTTAACAGAAGATGTGGAGCATTCAGAAGGGCTGGGATGGCTGTGGGTGCGGATGGACGTCCTGCACTCCTGACCTCAGGTCAGTGATGCTGCCCAGCTGCAAGCCTGTGCACAGGCTGCCTGGAAATGTGAGCTAGTAGCTCTTATCCAAATATATTACAGCATAGTGTAGCTATTTTGTTTTTAAATTTGAGTTCATGATTCCTCATGGAACCAATTCAGTATTTTTGCCTGTGACCAAATTTGAGCAAGATTAGAGTTTTAGCAATGTTATTCTGAAGCCTGTCATGCCTTGTGTCAAGAATATAGATAAAGCCACCACTTACTGAGGTCTCTGGGGAGTTGGAATAGGAGAGGGAACCATGGATTTCGTTGAAAATACATTACAGGGTCTCAGGTGGATGTGGTCATTGCTGTTGTTTCATGCTTTTTAGAACTGTTCTTGTAGAAAACAGCTTTTATTTAGGGCTTAGAACTGCTCCTTTGCAAAGTTGCTATTTAGCCAGATTTTTCACTGTGTTATTCACAGTGGTTTTTATATTAAGTTGTATTTGCATGGGCCACGTCTTTGGGGAGGTTGAATGGTAAAATGGGAAGAGGCATAAATTCTCTTGTGTATTACTGGTTTTGGTCTTGTTTGATTACAGGTCTGTTGGGGATTTAGATAGATGTTTTTAATATAATGTGCATCTTGCTGGATTTTTTTTTATTAGTATCCTAATTGATGATGAAAGCTTAAAGAAAATGGATCAAAAATATTTTTCCCCCTCCTGCAGGCCCAGATTCTGGAATTTGGCTTAGCAGTGCACGAGAAGGTAGTGCCGCAGGACATGAGGCCATTGCACAAAAAGCTGGTGGATCAGTTCTTTGTGATGAAGTCAAGCTTGGGAATACAGGTACGTGAGCAGATGCATGGATAAACCAGGAGAGCATTTAGCTGCAGTAAGGGTTGTTTAATTTTCCTAAGCAACAAATAGTGACGTCTTTTGGTTGTTTGTCCACATTACAACTTGCAGCATTCGTACAGTACCACAAAGCGAAGAGAAAGTTAAACATTCCATAAGGTGCAGAGAAAAACAGTCACATTTTACTAAAGGGAAAGTACTATCAGAGAAAAGTTAAGATATTTTTCTTATTAATGACGAAGCTGATCCAAAATGCAGATATAACTGTTCAAATTACTAACTGTATCTTACAAAATGCTTGAGGATATTATGGTCATTTTAATCAATCTTCTTTTAACAACTTGTCAGGAATTTTCTGCCTGTGTACAAGCTAGCCCTGTTCATTTCCCAAATGGAAGTCCTCGTGTGTGTCGAAATTCCATACCTGTTTCTATGAGCCCTGATGGTGCCAGGGTAATACCACGACGCAGGCAAGTTAAATTACTGCTGCTCATGGGAGATGACCCGTAATATACTTCACATTTCTGCTTGCTTTGTGTGCACACTTTGTTGTGTTGTCCACCTGAAGTATCTTCAGGCATGAATAGCTGATATATATATTCTCTCTCTCTCTCAAATAAGAAATCAAAATCAAACTGTGGAGATTAATAAACACATGCTGTTTTCACATGAAGAATTATGACTGGCAACTAATGTTAACCATTTTCTATTTAATTATTCTTATAATAGTCCCTTGAGTTACCCAGCTGTCAATCGGTATTCATCCTCATCACTGTCATCCCAAGCTTCTGCTGAAGTTAGCAATATCACTGGGCAATCAGAAAGCTCTGATGAAGTTTTTAACATGCAGGTACAAATTATTATCATTCTTCAAACTAAACAGAATCCTTCTTAGAAGGGTATTTACTAAATTAATACTTCTACTGTTTTGTTCAGAAACCTCAAAGTTATTGCTGATACTTCTTTTAAAAACCAAATCTTTAAATGGACTGTTAACCTCCTTAACTTAGACCAATTCTTTAATACTTCTTTTAAAAACCAAATCTTTAAATAGACTGTTAACCTCCTTAACTTAGAAAGACCAATTCTTTGTGTAACTGTTTCTTCTTTAAGCATGAATTTTTTACAAAAGTAATAAACAGCAATGCACTGTGATGTGAAGTCATCTGACCTTACATACTTTTCTGTCCAGTTGTCACAGTTGTGATGTAATTATTTTAATATATTAATCACATTTCTATCTATTTGGTATTTTACTACATCTTTGTGTAGTTACATTAATGCTCTCTATACTGGTTTGCTACTTTGAAATAATGAAAAACTAGTCTAACAATTGTAAGTTCTTTGTTTTAGTGAAAAGTATGTTATAAATTTTTCTTTTCCAAACCAGTAAGTGTGATGTAGTAACAACAGCATCTCTTCTATACGCAGCCTAGTCCATCTACCTCAAGCCTGAGTTCTACTCATTCTGCTTCACCTAATGTGACCAGTTCTGCTCCATCCAGTGCCAGAGGTCAGTGTTCATCTCCTGTGGTAAACCATATTAAATGATTCTTGATACATTACAGAGCTGAATCTCTGCATGATATCACTGGTCAGACATCAGTTTTAGACATAATATGAATTAGTGATGACAGAGGATTTCTTTGTCATAAGCATAGGATTGAAATGTCTGACTTTGACTGCATAAATTTAATAACACATTTATATTCTAGCTTCTCCTCTGTTGTCGGACAAACATAAACATTCCCGAGAAAACTCTTGCTTGTCTCCCAGAGAGAGGCCCTGCAGTGCCATCTACCCTACTCCTTTGGAAACCTCACAGGTAGGAAGCTTGTTGGGAGTCCTCGGAACACAAGTAGCTAAGAAGATGATAAAGGCGCTTGTTGAACTTCGAACAGATTCAGTGTCTGCTCACTGCTTTTGATTTTCAAGGGGGAGTTTTTTGTTTTTATAAGCAAATACTCTAAAATATTCTACATGACAGAGATGTGAAAGAATACACAGTGCTTGATCACCTTTCTGCTTACTTTGTCTATGTTTAGAGCTGGTTTTTTATACTTACTGCAGTGAGAGAGAGATGCAAAGACTTGCCAGATGACACAGCCTGCTTGTGTGAAGCAGCAGCATTTATTTCATCTAGGGAAGAAGAAAAAAAAACCATTATCATGGCAGTTGTCCATACTGACCTCCCCTTTACCTCTTCTGAAATAACTAGTCCTAGCCACTGTGAGATAATAACACACTCCATGTGGTAATTCCTATTTTTCAATGTAGTTTCAGAAAAGATAGACATTTTGTTACTCCAGAGAAAAGAATGAGTTGAGTTCCTACCTTACATAGGTCTGTATGCAATTTGTATCTTTTCAGTTATCTGAAATGCAAAATGAGCTTGGTGAACTGGCCAATTTTGAATCCTTATTTCATCTTTTCTTCTTAATGGACCTACTTTCATAAAGTGCTTTTCTTTAACACAGTTGCTGTTTTAATCTGTGCCATCACACAATGCACCTCCTG